TGGAAAGTTTTATAAATCAAGCTTTTTTAAGTCAACAAGTGATCAAGGAGCAGTATAGCGAGACCTGATCATTTGTCCTGTTGTTTTTAAGAAGATACTTAAGGCTCGTGAACGGTAGCATCTCGCCCTTGTGTTTATGTCCTGCTGACCAAGGCAAGAAAGTCTCCTGTCTTGCAAAGTGCAGGACATATTACTCATTTGCAGTACCTGTGAATTTAATGATCATATCCAGAGCAGTTTTGTAGGCCTCCTAAACTGAGAAGTTGCCAAGGAAACTGAATTGCCATTTTCAGAAGTAACTTTGAGCACAAGACTTAACAGTCATGTGTCACACAAAGTTCTCTGAAGATAACATGCTGAGAAACTGAAAGTAGTAGCAATTAAGCAGGATTTCTGTTGCAAATGTAGTGTGTAGTAGCTACAGTTCATGAGACAGGAAAATTACTCGTTGGTTATTTTGATATCTCTCCTCAAAGCCAACTAAGCTCACTGAAAATAAGACAGACATCAACGGTCTGTCTTCTTGCCCTCCCCAAAGCAGTAGCATTACTTAAGTTGATTCACGCCCGCGCAGAAGTCATGGCAAAGTTAATAGACTAAAGAAAACTATTTCAGTAAACTAAAGAGAGAGCCCAAAACCTCAAACACCTCAGTGGTTAATACGAGAATGGTTGTACAGTAACTGCATAGTCTGATGAACAGAAGCAGCAGACATATAATTAGAACATTTGCAGAAAAATTAGTCAATTGCTGTAACTATTCATGCTGCAAAGGAAATACTAAAAGAACTTTTCTTTTTATTCGTATACTTCACAAAGCAGTAAGTGTCTGACTGAATCTCCATTCAGTTATTTCATCAGGACCTCAGCTGTGTAGATTAGCATGGCATCAAGGTGTCATGATAGGTTATATTAATGAAATGTCTAGTCTTATGTCTGTGTATTATCTTAGTGATGGAAGATAAATAAACAGAATGTTCAGAATTGATCGTTTTGCATGTCAAAAACATGCTATAGGTATTATGAAATTCATTGACTGTTTCATTAACAGGGATATAATTTCATTGACTAGAATGTTTCCAGATGGGATTTTCAAAAGAGCCTAAGAGAGTTCAATCTGCAAATCACACTGAGATTCAGGGAGAGACTTTGATAGCTGAATTCCTGAGACTCCTTTAGAAATACCAGCCTCAGGAGTTCATGGAGGTAAGAGGAGTCAGCAACTGAAACTGCCAATAAGGAGTATACATTGACAGGAAAACTGTACGGTAAGTTTATCAGGAATATATGGATGCAGCCAAAAGGTTTAGTTTGTTCCACTGTCACTCCAAACTGACTTTACTTCTCTTTTAGCACTTGGCCTTGTGCTTCCAAGAACCTCTTTCTGCCAAGTGTGCAAGTGCAGGAGCCATAGGGAGCTTCCACTGGAATCAGAACCTGAGAAGAACAAGGAGAAACATGGATGTCATTCCTGAGGCAAGGATGTGCCAGTGCCTTCAGAGGAGCGTGGTACTACAGTAGCTGTCCAGCAGAAACTGTAGCTATTAATTCTCTCTGATATAATTCCCCTTTCCTTCCCTTACGGACATTAATGGTAGGTTTTGCTGTTATCTCAAGTGAAAGCACATCTGTAGCATCCACCCAAAAGAGAACAAGGAGCCTTGCAGCAGAATTGCAGGCATTGGGGAGACAGAGAATAAACAGACCAAAAATCATCAATCAAAATCACAACTGCAAAACTGAATAACCCAGTTTCTCTCTGATATTCACACAAGGATAACACTTGGACATCAGATGGAGCAGCTGCGGATGTCCTCTACATCTCCTACAATCGCTACAGGAACCATCCATCCCTTCACAGCTCTAGGAAAGTGTTGGTCTTCTGTCACCTACATATTTAGCACACAAACCCGGTTAACCTGTTTTTTATCTGCTACAGCAAGGAGAAATGACAGTTCTTTACTGACCTCAGTGGTATTGCCAAAGAAGAATTATGTTAGAAACAAGACCCATGCAGGGGTAGCAATTCAAACTGGGGACAACCTGTTATGTTCTGCTTGATTGCAAGTGCACAAACTGGCATTATCACTGATAGTCAAATTCAGTAAAGAGGAACAATCTCTCAGATGTAACTGTAGTTACAGACCCTTTTGGCCTATAGACCCTTTAGGCCTTCTGTCCTGCTCCTTGAGCTTTTATCATAAACACAAGTAAGAAGTTAGCTTTTTCCTGTAATCAGTGTACATTTCTTTTAGTGTTCTCTGTGGCTGGGGTGTTTTTTTTTAAGCTAAGTGTTTTTTTCAGAGTCCTGTCGAGTAGTGTTTTGAGCATTTACTTACTTCTTTGTCATTGGTCAAGCCTAGGTTCTTCATATCTAATACATTGTAAAAAGTGTTGTTCAACATGACTTCAATGACCTGTACCTGAAACCATGCAAACAGGTGGGACAATGAATTAGTGCACTTTCTTAGCCAATGCCTTGACAATATTTGCATTTACTAGAAAGGAAAACAATTGACAACCTGAAAAAAAAAAACTGTCATGTTGATAAAACCCAATCAATTGAATGTGTGATTTTTTTTTTTGTATCACCCCTTTTATTTTCCATCTGGCCTTACCAAGCACTGACTTCTTTTTCTCCCATTTTTTTCCACAGATAGTGTTTGACATTTCTCAGATCGGATTTTCTGAGTGCATTCCTATGTGTTCAGAGCATCGAGCTGGACCACCAGTTTCCAATCTGAGAGCCAGCAAAATATGCTCATTCTGGTCTTACAAGTCCAATTAGTATTCAATATCATTTAAATTAAATGTCAAAGGAGGAAAGAAGGTACCTGTGACACTTTAGAAAGGATGAGCATCTGGATACTGTTGACAGTCTTCTGGTAGGAGGGCGAATACTCCCCACACTCTGGTGGCCCAGAGAAGGCCTCAATGACACACTCCCGGACTTTGTTCCTAGAGGAGCATTGTGTCATTACAAAATCCTGTATCAGTGGTCTGTGTCTATACACATAATATTTTACTGTGTTCTATTTTTAAAAAGATTCTCTGTGTCTTTTTGTACCACTACATAGCACATGAGATTTCATGAATGAACAGTGTCTTCTTTCAAAGTATCCCGCAACTCTATAATTTGCAGGTATTTTGTTTAAAGTGTTTAACAAATTAGGTGTAACTGCATTCTCCTGAAGTGCTGAGCAGTGATCTACAAGCTGCCCATTTAAATACTGTCTGCACCATCAGAGAGAGAATTTGGTAAGTTGATTTACCCCAGAGGTTTACTTGGGGTGAAAGATTGCCTTACACCCACAGGCAGCAAGAGGTTAGAACCTCCTCTGAGATCCATGAGAGTGGCTGGCACTCAGCAGATCTGGTCCTTCAGCTTGCTGTGTTGTTTGGAGGGACTCTGGGGTCATATATTAGGTGATAAACATATTCAATTTGACATATACCATATGCAGTCAAAATCTAAATCTTTGCATTCGCCGTATGACCATTTGCAGAAGAGTTCTCCACATAAAATCCTGTCATTCCTTTCAGGAAGTGTGGTGTATTCACTCTTATGGAAGCCTTCGAATCCAGACATTGTTGTCTTCATAAGTTTCATATCTTTAATTCCAGCAAAAACAACCAGAGGACCTGTGATCCAAAAATATAACACAGCGTGAGATCCTTTTCAGTCAGAGTGAAGGGAGCTCTCTGCATGTCCACGTTTGCACTAGCAGCTCCAGAACCATTAAGGATCTCTCTGAGATACCCTTGTGCTTCTGTTGCAAGCCTCATTACTTTATAAAATTATTTATTGCACCGATGTTAGTGGGAAGGTGAGAAACAAGATAGAAACCCTTGAAATTAGAGCTCAATCTGGAAAGCAGAGAGCCCCATCAAATGACCTGTGATGTCAGTCAGTGAGAGTGGAGGACGTGCTTTATCTCACCTCCTTGTCCTGGGCCCCACGGCACGGTTATCTGCCATAGGAATTCAGGAATTCCTATTTAGACTAAAGGGAAATAAAATAGGCTACTTGGGCTGTGGCGTAGAGGAATAGTGACGTGAACTTTTCCACAGTGATGTGGAGAGACAGTACAAAGACGTGGAGACTGAGTCAGGAATTCACTTTACACGTCCATTTTGTCGTAACTTCAGCATCCGCAAAAGCCGGAGGGCGAGCGGCCAGCGCTGCGCTTCAGCTGCCGCTGCTACTCACAGATGCCACCCACAGGCTTGAGCACACAGTGATACAGCTCTTCGCCCCTATTTATAAAATGTGCTGTTGCAGATCACTTGTGCATGGGTGGATTATTGTTTTCTAAAGAGTAACAATTTTTTCTTCTAACAGACCTGTTGGATGACTGCTAAAAAAATTCAGGTCATCAGTTCTCTAGATCAGACCAAATCAAGAGATGAAAATTTCACAAACCAGATTAAAAAAAAAAAATCGGAAAAGAAGGTTTGTGTGACACACATGGCTATGCAAAGCCCGAGCTGGTGGCTGAAGCCTCCGCTGCTGTTTCTGTGCTACTCTTGGTGCTCACTCTAGCTAGTTCAAAGCCATATATCTGGCACATGGTAATCATGCCTTTCACTTGACAAACTTTGTTATATTAAATTCTGTCTTTACAGGAATGTATACTGGAAATAATTTTACCATGATGGATATTTTTAAATGATGCAATTGTTTAGAATGTTTTAAAATCCTCCATTACTGGAAATGATCAGAGCTACATTTTATGTAAGTATTTCTCTTCTTGTTTACATTCATTGTTGTTTTTGAATTGGGTCCAAAGAGGTATATCTCTTTGAACTTAATTCAAAAAACAACAGTGCTGTGCCCTCCCCTGTTATTTACTAGAGCTTTACAAAATCTTAAGAGGTGACTGTGTTTGCCCTTGGGTTTTATTCAGATCTTGATGAATTCCTTGCTCAAGTTTAAGACAGGAATATCCAGATATTAATGCAGTGCAGATACTATCAAGGATCCTTGAAGTATATTTATCTCATATTCAAATGCACGGCCTTGATTGAAAGAGTTTCTTGCAACTAACAACTCACGCAAATGCAGACTATGTAGCTGTCTCTCTGAAGATCACACTGAAGTGTCAAGCACCCAGACAGTTAGTCTGGTGCTTTTGTTATGTTTTGTGGTTGCCCTGTCTTTCTAGTTTTCCATTTTTGACTCTGATAAATTACTTACAGTGTTTTCAGTTCACAGAAAACTCTGAGCTTTTTATCACCTGATATAATGGCAAAACAATAAGCCTATAATTACTGTTAAGTCTCACCAAGTTCCATTTAGCTAGAGAGTAAAGTGTTAAAATATAGGATTAATTGGGAAATAAATTTCAATGTCTGGTTGACAGATGCATAGGAGGATGCTAAAGATAGAGAAGATTTTCTTCTAGGAAAAATAAAAGGGGCTTGAGAACCTTAGCCCCAGCAGGGAATCCTCATGAAACAACCAAAGGGCTACATGAAGGGGAAGATTAAGATGGAAAGACCATTTCTTTAGCAAGCCTTGATAAGGCCTTCTTGTGCAGAGAACTTGAAGTTGCAAAATTTGATGTTGATCTTTCAGGATGATAAAAGATTTAGATCCTATCTATACTTCTATCTATACTTTAAGAGCAGCGATTTTTCAAGAAAAATATTTTTTTCCTTCTTTTTTTTTTCCTTTTTTTTAAATTCCAATTTCTTTTTTAACATTTTCCAGAAAACAATTTCAATACTATGGAAGCCGCCAAAAATATGGCAGTAGTTAACATAGTAGCAACGTAAGAGAAGGAGGCACTAGACACTTGTACCAGTTCTGTCTCTGTTCATGGGGAATACAGGGACAAAGCTCAAATGAATCTTTCAGAACTGTGGCCTATCTGTAAGTGAAATTGATCCCTCTATGAACTTGCATATTAGGAAAATATATAGAGAGAATAGGTTGGGAAATATTTCTAAGTTATGTATCAGATTTATCTTAAGACAGTAATGGATACTGAAATAAGGCATAAAACTAAACCCATTGTATAAAACAGTGCAGTCAGCTCAGCTCAGTTCTCAGTATTCTGATATGCCAATACAGTGAGACTGAACTGACACTCTTGCTAAGAGTCACTTCAGCACAATTACATTCACTTTGGAAAGGCAAGTCATCTAACTGCCTAATTTACAAATCGACATTTCAGCTTTAAAGCCTATGTCTTTTCAAGATCCTAAAACTCTCCGTGAAGTCAAATGGAATTTTGTTTATGCAAAAAATAGTGAGCACACTCTGAAATGCTTATATGTGAAAAATGGTTTGCATATAGACTTTCATGCTCACAGTGTTCAAGCTAGCATGATTTGCAGCAATTGCATCACATCTTTTTGAACAGTAAAACCAAGGCACGCTGTCAGGCAGCTGCAAACTAAGCAACTGGCCTATGGCAGTAAGGCTTTGTGGTATATTCTCTGTAGGGTAATGTTAATAGTGAAAATATAGGCTGTAGTATAATGCAAAAATGTAAGCAAACTGTTTGCAGCAGGCTATAAAACCCTGTGATGATGTTATTACAGTTATGTTGTATGTATAATTGTAACTAGTACGTGTTTAGGATACACAAAGAAATAAAAGAGCAGATTCAGCCATGTCTAAGGGATCAAGGACTACAAAATTCAGCCATAAATGTGTTTTCTTTTGTTTTGTTTTAGGCGTATGGAGAAGCCCTTTAACACCCCCAGCTATCTTTAAAGCCGTCTTCATCTCTGTAGTCGTTGCCATGGTACTTCTTGAATATAGGTTTTGACATACGCCACTTGACAAAATGTTGTCATGAAGTATTTGCAGATATCAATAGCAAATTGTTCTATAGTTTGAATCTAAGACAACAAAAAATATAGTTACAAGTCAGCAATTACCTGAAGTGAAAGAGTAGATTGTTATAATTGTTCTAGATGTTTGGGAAGAATCAGTTTGGTTAAAATACACATTTTCTTCAATTCTGGTTTTGTACACTGTATACCTAGTCATTTGATCAGCTTGCAGCATAAGCTGCAAATAGCTGCTTCAGATTCATGTCAAAAATCCCCCATTCCATGGTGTAGCGAGCTGAGGTCTTTGAACTGAGAGGAACTACTATGCAAGCTTGATCCTTTGAGAATATAACATTTAAAAAATCGTCGTGATACTCTGCTTCAGCTGTACAAGCTAAAGATGGAATTTCATTACTAAGACTGAGAACTTGGTCCACAGGTGGTCATTATGATACATGGAATTGAGGGAGCTGTCATCGTGAAGAGTTAACAGAACTAAGAGGAGTCTTACAATGCAGTATTATGTGCTGTTACCTTAAATATATATATGCAGTATTATGTGCTGTTACCTTAAATATATATATGCAGTATTATGTGCTGTTACCTTAAATATATATATGCAGTATTATGTGCTGTTACCTTAAATATATATATGTACATATGTCAATAGTACCAGAAAGCGGCCTGAAAATGCTCCCTCTACCTTTGTGAGAAATTAAGGCTTGGAGAACAAAGGATGTTTCCATGTTTCTGTGTTCCAACACAGAAGTGGGTACATAACATTTTCAAAACTGAGGCTACTCAGATTTGAAAGGTTTGTCTGTTCAAATGCAAGTTATGACAGGGCAAATTAGCCAACACTGAAATTCTCAGAATAGGGAAGAGTATTTCAGTTACCCTCTGTACTCAGGATAATTACTGGGAGAAGAAAATCTCTTCCAAATCTTTGAAGGAGTCTTACTGCAAATCTAACATACACATGTGGAGGACAGAAGATTCTTTTGACGCATTTTGGGGAAAAAAAGTATAACAAATGCTACAAATAAAGTCATAATTTACAGTGAGGCTAGATAAAATACCCCATTTTTTTTGGCCAGCACAAAGACGATATTCTTTATGGTGTCTGTGGGTATGACAGCAGCGTTGTTTCCCTCCAGATACTCGTGGGCAGAGGTCAGCCGGAGATGCGTGCACACTTCTACTTCTTTAACAAAGTGCTTCTTCCCCTCTCTTCTAAGACGGAGGAACTTAATTGTGTTCTTGCCATATTCACAGTTGAGGACTTCTACATCCTTAATCTGCAACGAGAGCATGTGCATTGTGGTGATGAATGAAATGCAGGGAAGCATGAGTTATCCTGAGTTAAACCTAAACAATGTTTATCATTTTATTTCTGTGGTTACCTGTGATAATGGAGAGTATGATAGGAAGGAAAAAAAATGCTCTAGGATGATATTATTATTTCACTAGCAGCTGTGATAGAGTTTAAAAGCTTGGGAGGGGGGCAAATGATTCAGTGTGAGTAACAGTGAACAAACATCTCTGATCTGTCCTCTTTGGATTAACCCTGGCCGATAAACACTTTCCTACATCTTTTCTCTCTCATTTCCTTTGGAAGCAGTGGGTCCCAGCACAGCCAGTCACCTCAGTTGCCTCTTGCAGAGGGTGGGCAGGTCTGTCCCGGCACCTCCTGCGCTCGTTCCGCCAGCGCCAACCGCACGCCCGGGCTGGGCTGGGCTCCTCGCGCAGCCATTTCTGATTTCCCTTGGCAACCAGGGCCGATTCCCAGCACTTCCTCCTCTCCCAGCTGCAAGGTGCCAGGCGCGCAAGGCCTGTCCGCAGCCAGGCGAGAAAATGAAAACAGCCCTCAGCTTCACGGCAGGTTTGTGTGTTCTACTACCCTATTTATGCGCATTGTGATTGCTAAGAGAGGGAGGAAACTAATACATGAAAAGACCGAGCTGCACTGGTGGAAAACATTTTGTCACTTTTTTTTTCCACAGGGCTGATCTCCCTCACAAAAGGAATCGCAGCTGAGTCCAAGCAGCAAAATTCAGGTTAGCATCTACACTTCCAAAATTTGGACTTGCTGGGATTGCTGGTTTGGTTCGCATTAAGCTTCGTTCACTTTTACCCTGCGTCAGTCGAACACAGTCCAATTTATACATCTGTTATAGTATCAGGAGACAAAAATACTATGAACCCCGTGAGCATTTCTAATGCTAAACTATCTGGAGTTTATCACACTAAACTTGCCCTGATGTTTAAATATCCCATACTTGATATCAACATCTTTAAGCGTAATGGAGGAGAAAGTATTTTTCAAAACTAAAAAATAAGTTGAAGCTTTTTCTTCATAGCTGCTGAAACCATTAGATGGAAAATCACTCACTTCACATATGTTTATTCCTGAGAGAAATCATGCTGTTTTTAAAAGAGAGTTTTTAGAAAAAATTAACTGATTATAAGTAAATGTTTGTGGTCAGAGAGTTTTCTCTTACTGTCTGTAGACTCAATCCCTACAGACAAGGGAAGGATTCCCTCATGGACAGTCAGGATCTGGGAGAGTTCAGCACTTCACAGGAAGCTGTGCTGTCCTTGCAAGAATGACACCAATGGTGTGCTCAGTGCAAGGGCTGGGTGGAACAGGAGTGAGATCAAAACAAACTGGTTTTGTTTTGCTTCTCTGAAAGATATAGGCTTTGGATAGTTGCAAAAAAATCATGTTTCATTCGTAGAGCAGTAGAAAGAAAAACAAGCATTTCAACACCTACAGCTTATTTGAAAGGAAAATGCATTACATATTTTGAATATTAAAAATAGTAACTTCTAAAATATGAAAGTATGTTTCAGAGAAATGTCACCGGTCAAATGTCATTTTGCCATTTTTTTGTCCCCCCCCCGCCCACACACACAGTCCTGCAAAGTCTGCAGCCGCCCTGCGGAGCAGCCCAGCCCTGTGCCGGGTCGTGCCTGTCCCGCACGGGTATGTCCTGCTCGGAGCCGCAGGGTCAGGCAGCTGACTCTGCTACGTTTACCACATCATGGCAAGAGCAGACACGTATCAACTTCTCCTTTCAGAATCTGCCCTGTGCTCTCTCTGTGCGGCTGACAGACCAAAATGACTGCGAGATCCATATGGTGCCACTTTGTTTTGCTATTACTTCTTTCCCCGTTACCCTTGGGGGCAGCTGAAATTTCCTGCAGGAATGAAGATGGAAAGCCTGTTGACTGGTAAGTAAATAAAAGAAATGTTGGAAGAGTAAAAAATGTTTAAGATTAAACTGTGTGAAGTCAGTGGATCACTGAGAAGTAATGCTTAATAATTGCTGTCTTAATCCTGTCTGCCTATGAGTAATACTTGAATTTTGCATTTGGAAAATCTAGAGTAAGTTATTGTAAGCTGGTTTCATTATGCTACAACTAACCACGCCGCTGCATCATGACTAACTGCAAAATAATCGCTGGTTTACAAAGTTTTTGTTTCTCACGATCAACCAAGTGTGACCTGTGCGTTGATGCCTTAGCTCCAAATCTACAGTGGTCGCCTCAGCACCCACGTTTTGGCAAGGACAGCAGTTTGTCTTGCCAAACAAACTCATCTGAGTAGGGAGAATTGTCACTGTCCCAGCCGTAACCTTGTTGCTCACACCCAAACAGCAGCCTGGTGTGATCTGCACCCTTCCTGCAGTTGTTGCAGTGGCCAAGAGCTGAGGATAAAATGAAGCTGAACCATCTCCTGGATGGATCAGGGTGAGGCATGAGGAATGCAGACAGACGGGCAGTGTGGGAAAACGCTCGCAGTGGTTCGTGACTAAGGAGACATCGTTCTCCAGCCTGCAGAGCTGCCAGCACTTTAGAGCTGCTAGCAGCCACTCTGGCAGCGGTGAACATGAATTTGGGCATTAAATGATTAATTAATGCACTTTGAAGATGAAAGATGCAAAGTGTAATTACTGTACATAATATCCAACCCAAGTTTAAAAAGTGAAACGAGTGCTCTTAAAAAAAACAATTGCAGCCTCCCAAAGATAAGTATCAACTAATTAAAAAAGTAAAGAGTTTCTCTCACAGAACAATGATTCATTTGGATATGAGAGATAAAGAAGTAGGCACTGTTCCTGTAATACTTAAACATGTCCCTTACTTTATGCATAGAGCTAATTCCAGGGAAAGCAGAGGACTAGTCACACTATAGGTGGCATGCATGTGAAGCAGGGGTCTAACATCTGCTTTGCTGTGTCCTGCCTTATCATTAAACATAATGAGGGTCTGGCCCATCCCTATGACTTGTCACCTGTGCCCAGGCACTTTTGGGTAATGATGTTTCCAGGATCAGATTCTTGTGTATGCAGCCAGCCAAGAACTTAAAGGTAATCTTAAGTTCCTTTCTCTGTAATTATTATTATTTGTTACAGAATGAATCTGCCTGTGCTTTAGGATCAAGCCAAAAGAATATACTTTATCATCTATTTCTTAAATCCAAATATCAAAATTCTCTGAGGAATTCTGTGAAATCTCTAGCTAGGTTTGACCTCTGCCTGTGTGAACACCACTGATGTCAGGCCAGTTCCAGATGGGAAACTGTGCTTCTGCATAGTGCTGTGTGTGTGAAACAGTGCTCCCGTCTGCTCAGTATGGGGGGGAAGGGAGGAATTATGTTTTATATGTGCCATGAGCAAACGAAAGAGAAACCTATCTATTTTCAAGTCATTATTATGAAATAGTCAGCTTTTGCTGGATGCTGAATTCGGTTGCTGTGAAACTGATAAGAGAAGCAGAAGTGAAGCTGCTGAGGAAAGCTTCCTCTCGCCCAGATGTCAATGCCCTTTCAAACAAATACAACAGTGCAGATACTACACTCAGCTAGCAGGAGGTTTGCACCAGTCCTTCAGAGGTTTCATCCTGCAATATTCCATAATTGCTCATTACCGCTCTTGCAGTCATTGCATTTGACACTGACCTGAAGCAATCCTTTGCCTTATGCGTTCTGATAACATCTGTTTTTCCCAAATTTGCTTAAAATTTCTGCCTAAGTGGAGGGACTATTGATATCCTCCATGTGCATCATGTCATTTAGGAGTCTATGTCACAGTCTTTACTGCACCTCATATAGGTATTATCAGTGCAGAGGATCATAGGATCAGCTCTAAGGAGGACAGAATGTCTTTATTCACTCAAAAGTCACTGTATTCAGGGAGAATCTTATCACACAAGTAAAAGCTAAAGGACTGCTTTCTGAGAAGTGCCAAGTCCATCTTTAAAACCAGGGATAGTTTTTAATTCCACATAGGGCAATGGAAGTTGTATCCTTGGTACACAGCATTTTGCAGCCTGGGAGCAAAACTAAATAACTACTTAATATTTTTTTTAATAGTGCCACTGTCTGCATTTCATCTGCACTTCCAAAGTTATTGTTTTTTACTGAAAAAAGTAAAATGGTGATTAGTAACTTAGTGTTCAGTCGCAATCCATACATGTGACAAGTCCAATCAGGCATAAGCAGATCCTTGCCGTTTCTGCCTTTGCTTCTTCTTGGTTCTTAGGATAATAACTGCTACTCTGCTCCCACAGATCCTTAAGCTCTTGAGAAACTTCCTGTGCACAAATAGCATGAAGATATTTATGCAACTTAAATTGCTTATGCAGTCAACTAACTTTCTGTAAAGGGCCAAAACATGTATCAGCTGGGAATTAGCAGGCAATTTATATTAATAGCTGAACTATTAATATCTCCAGCATCCTATGTACAAACATTGTCATGCTTTCTTGGTGCTAGGCTGTGAACACCAGAACATAAACCCTCCAACATATTCCAAAGATGCTTGAAAGGCTTCATAGACTCTTTCTTGGATTAGCTCTTGCTATTATAACTATTACTATTCATCTCCTTTCCAAATCTTAATTTCAAATAAAGGGATTTTCATGACTCCTCGTGCATCTAATGTTCTCATCGAGCTTATTATACAAATCACTTCCTTGATCTTCCTTGTTATCTGTCATCATCAACAATTTTTACTGAGGTGTTTAAAGAACATTACTCAGTGGCAATGCGGGTGGATTACCAAGATCACTGATTTTTTTTTTATTTTTTCTTCTGCCTATATGTGTACCCTTGCCATATATCAAATGTTCTTCTATTAAATGCTTTCCCACCACTTTTTATCAGCTTTTCTGTTTCTCTAGAATGTATTTTATACCAGTTTAGACTGTATATTAACTGTGCAAGACTTCTTCCTTCTGATGTACTTAAAGCATCAAGTGTAGTCAGGTTGCATTTTTGTTACATACTTGAAGATTGAAAATAATGCCACTCAGTTCTTATATGGACGTAAGTAGTAATTTGCTTAAACGAACACTCAAATAAGATAGCTCAGTAAGTTATGGTGTAGTTAACCATGGACTTGTGTACTGGCAAACCCTGTTTACTTCATCAGCTACGTTAATGTGCACTGAGCATTAACTAGAATTAGAGTGAGTACTCTAAAATTTTGGAAAAAAAGTATCTGTTTCTGGCTAATGGCTTGTAGATATGGAGCTTACAGTAGTTCAGCAGAGTGTGAGTTTGTTATGAAGAGTATTAGAGCATTACCACATAGCTCTACGTTTATTTACACACATACATATATGTATATCTACATAAACTATTGGTAAAAGGTGTCCTTGTTGACCATGAGAAGTACAGACTGCGTTTGGACCTGAGGTTCAAGGTCAGTCCTTCTTTCCCCTCCAGAAGTAGGAGCAATAATGGGTTGGTGGCTGAAGGTGACTCCACGGGATGTCCCTGCAGTCTCTGTCCCGGGCAGGTTTCTGTGGGTGTGACTGGACCTGAGCTGCAATTAGGGTGCTCAGGTATGAAACAGAAGAGACTGAACCTTGTGCTGTGAGCAGTGTTAGTTCTGAAGGTTGGAAAAACATAATCATGCACCATAAAGCTCTGTGGAAAAGGGCGCTTAGGCACGGTTTAACCCAGCAAGGACTTTAATACAGTGTGGCAAACCAGGAGGACACCAGAACAAGCTCTTTTGGGGCACCAACAGCAGCCTGACTGCAGGGCTTGGGTGTGCGATCAGCCCCTCTTGGCTGCTAATAAGCAGAGCAAATTTGGCTGCAGAAAGTATCGTGCCACTAAACTGCTCCTGATTCCTGAGCTGGGTCATCTGCTCAGGGCTGAAATATCGACACCACACACTGCTGACATTGGTACCCCTCCTATGTAGGTGTCTTCCATGTCCTTAAATGCCCAGGTGGGAAGGAGCTACAGACTCATGCACTGAAACAGGACAGCTTGTAAAATGTTACTCTTTGCCGTTTCAGGTTTGTTCTTTACAAGTTACCAAAATCTATAGAAGAGAGTGCTGGGCTGGGCCTGGAGTACATGTACATGGATTCCCTGACTCATGCGTGGCAACTCAGTAAATATCTCATCAATATGACACAGGGTGTCCTCGGGCAAACACTGAAACAACTGTATGAAACTTATGAATCAAAGGCAAGTGACATTTAATTATCATTTTGTTAATATACTTGCTTAATTTTACACGTAAATGATATGAATTCAGCCAAAATAAGCATGTGCAAGCATGGTCAGACCGGTTTGGATGTGCTAAAATGTACCAAGGCAGCACAGTCTGACAACTAGGGAGATTATTTGTGGGTTTTTTAATTATCATTTATTTATAAGTTTATTTAATCATAATAATAATATTGTTTTTATCATTTTTATATTATCTGTTTTGCTTTTGTCTAGAATTACAAGTTATCCTAGAACTTCTCATTTCTAGTTAAGCTTTTCACACACTTAAGGGGTTGCCTATAAAAATAAAAAGCACATTAACACATAGACCCTATGGCTTCTTCTCTGCCACTGTGGCTGAGCAACATCTGCAGCTTCGAACCAGGGCCCAGGTAAAGGTAATGACCCCAGTAACGACCAGTGGTCATTACTATGGGGGTTTGTCCTAAGTCCTCCCACATGCATGTGTCTCAAGCGCTTTCTCACATCAACGCAGGGTTTCACTGTTGCCCCTTAAATCCCTGTGACTTTTCAGCAATAATAGACTGCTTGTTAGGCCTGTTTTCCTCCCCTCCCACACTGTCAGGCACCTAATTTATATTTGTGCAAAGTGATTGTAAAATACCACAAGATCTGCCTATAGTTATTTTTTTACCGTCTAGTAATACTCTCGGGAGTCTGGGTGTGTCTTTGTGTTTTTGCCGTAGGTTAGTGGTAAGTTGTCATTAAATTTGTATTTAGGAAAGATTCTCGGAAGCCAGTCAAATGCTGGCAAACCAGGCAACTCTCCTATTCCGTGGCACAAAGTAATTGTAAAACAGTATTTGCAAACTCAAAATGTGGAGGCCACACTGGTGCCAATCTTCAAACACTGTTAGTGTTTGCAAATTCTACATCTGGAGAGGAAATATGTCCCAATTCTTCTGAAGTTCTCTATTCAGGGAGAATCACATGTGACTGTATGCAACTGTTTTGCCAAAAAAAAAAAAAGTATTAATTGTTCATCCTTCATGCAAGCAGTTGCCAGGTCTACATTTCCTGACTATACATATTCACAAGAGCTGGTTGCTAAATCAGAGAGACACACCAAAAAAAAAGAAAAATTTCATTGCAAGTGATTGCCTAATGAAACCTTATAAGGTGTCTTAGTAAGCATATCTGACCTTGTTAGGGAACCTTTGTTAGGGAAGGACGCTTGAAGCGCTCAGCAAAACTTCCACTTTACATTAACTCTTTGCTGAGTTCTCTTCAGGTTTATTTTGCTGTAACTTCCATAGAGACTGTGTCAGATAGGAGTAATAGGTTCGTGATACTCATATGCTGAAGTTCTGAATTATTTCTTCTGCTTCTAGTGAAAGATACTCTTTTAAATACCTTTCATTTATTGAGTGCAATGTCTCATAATTATGTGTTTTTTACCTGCAGAACAGCAGCGTTGCCTATGCAATATATAATGATGAGGTCCCTCATTCTAAGGCCTTCAACTGGAAAAGAGGACATACCAAAGGTACAGGAGTAGTCCTGAGTTATTGTTTTCTCCTCTTTAAAGTTGTAGATAACATCTATTTGTCTGCTCATTAGTCTGTCTATCCAAACTTCCTGCCAAAAGCAAAACTGGAGGATGATTTGCATGACATATGTTTTGCTGTAGTTATGCATGCCATAGCTGCTGCTTGCATGCTGCAGCTTCTATTTGGTTTTACTATGCCTGTATTGTGTTGAAGAACTGTAAGGGTTTATGGGCTTCTTGTCTTGTTTATGGTGAAACTCATACGTCTTTTAACAAGTACAATTCACACTGTCCTGAGCCTAACAGCAACAACAATGCCAAGATCAGCTGCCCTTGCAGAAGCACTGGGTTTGCCCAGCGTGATGCTGGAATCAACATATTTTGCAGGCCTGTATTTTCAGGCTGCAGAAATATGGACAGCTCAGGAGCTGTGCTCCTTCCTGAAGCACTCAGCTGCCCTGAGAGGCATATTCTGTCCCTGCTGTTTTCTCCTGGAGAAGAATTTGCTCCTGGAGAAGGAAAAGACACAGTGTTGACAGAGCCCATTTCCTCTTGTGCAGTGAATCTAGGAGGAGGAAAGGAAAAAGAGCAGCGGAGACCAAGTCACAGTCATTAAATCATGAGATTTTTCAAAGACAGCATTTGAGTATGGAAAAAAATGGGTTTTGGAAAGGAATTTTTAAAAAAAGAACTGAGATGGTAGTTTGAGTTAGATTATTCAGAACAGAATTAATGCAATTTGAATAACATATTACTGTTTAATATAATTCATTAATATGGACAAGAGCCAATTTACTGTAGAAAATAATGCATTGAAGTGCAGTATCTGCAGCACTAAAACCACAGTGAAACACTGCTGTATTGTCTTATAGCTTTTTTCCCCCTTAATTTATCCACAGTAACTTTCCTTTGACAGGATTTCTGCTCTTGGACAAATCACAAGGCTTCTGGGGAATTCACAGTGTGCCTCTGTTCCCTCCCTTTCTGGAGGACGGTTATGGTTATCCAGCTAGTGGGAAGACATTTGGACAGACAGCCATCTGTGTAACCTTCAAGTTTGACCAGTTTACAGAAATAGGTATGAAAACCTTTTTATTCCTAAGAAAACCTTTGAACCAATGAACCTCTTTGCCTTGGTCTCTTAAGGCTGTGCCTCAAAAATGGCCTGTTCTTGCCCTTAAGCTTCATTGTCAGATTAGTAAACTCAATGGGCCTTGGAAACAGCATTCTTGGCTTTCAGTTATGTTTATCCAACCATCTCCTGTGTGAATATGGGAAACTCACTCTCCCACTCTGTCTCCATCTCCCCATGAGGACTATTGGGATAATAATAGCCACAAGTGCGTTTTGAGGGTAAAGTCATAAGGAGAGCTTTGGAAATAAAAAGCAGGATGATTACTCATTTCTAACAGTAATAGCGCATTCAGCTGCAGTAGTCTACAGCTCTAAAAATGCAATGCAATCACTGCTGGAGGTGGTGTAGGCACCCTTACACATCAGAACTATGAAATAGAAAATAAATATTCCTCAAATTTTTCACAACTCCTTTTTGCCACATAAAATACCTACACTAAAAATAAAAAGTAAACCTATAACTGTAAGATTCAACTATCTGATACAGGCATTCCAGAGAACAGCCTTCAAAAGTCATTGTAACAAGTCATACTGATACATTTATTAAAATTTTTCATGCTGTATTTGCTCAGTTACAAGCCCATAATTATACTAATGAGCTATGTAAGATTATGAAGATGGCCAGGTTGGGCCATACCACAGAGCTATCTGAACAAGTTTCTTGTTTGTGGAAGTGCATGCTAGCAGATGCTCAGGGAAAGAGAACAAGAAAATGAGAAGCAAACAGTAATACTTCCTGCTCTGTCCTCCCAGCTTCTGGTAATCTGAGGTTCACGGATTTCCTGAACTGGAAAGACAAGAAAGTGCCTGATGGACTGGTCTTCCATGGATTCACCTGAATTGTTCTTTTGCTCTTTACAGCATCCCATGGCAATGAGCTCCACAGTTAAACCAGGACTATATAGAAAAGTACTTTTTTCTTTGTAAATTCAATCTAGATTCTGAAAGTCAAGCTTTGTTCTTCCTAAAACCAAACTAGACCCTTTGTCAGCTCTCTGGTTTGAGTTTGGCTTGACAAGTATAACTGACTGGAACTACTCTGGTAAATACGGACAGGTTTGAATTGATACATGCTAGCTGTACATGATGCATGACTGCTGAAAGGCTTGGAGATAAGCAAGGATGTAAAGGCCAATATGATATATGTGATGCAGGGTCAATCAGAATACAAAGCAATTAAACATATTTTTGTTGCTAGAATAATCTACTTTGACATTGAACTCTTCCAGGAGACAGAATGTGAAGATTAAAAAGAATCATGTTTCCTTTCCAAGGCAAAACTACCCTTAACCTTCTTGATTGCTTTGTTTAATTCATTTTAATTTTGAATGTATTTGTTTCTTTGATTTTGTTCAGACCAACAGTTGCTGAGTTATAATCCAAGCATCTACAACTGTGCCATCCCTGACATCTTCCAAGATCAGCTCCCAAATCTGCAAAAGCTCTGTGCAAGGTCTAGGTTGCCCTCAGTCCCCCAGCGTCGCCTCTCCAAACTCCAGTCAGCTCATGGGGAAACATTTCTTCACTTTGCTAAGTCACACTTGTTTGTGGATGGTAAGAGAAGCTGTTATTACCTATGATCAAGCACCTAATAGGCAATTAATATAATATTGGGCAATGAATATTTTTGGAAAAAGAGAATGTTCACTTTCAGAAAAAAAAAATGTGACAGGACAGGGAATCGTATCCCTTCATAATACTCAGCTCACAAAGTAAAAGGCTGTCTGGTCCTTCAGGTGTTGTAAGGCTGTCTGTAAGGCCATTTGATAATGGGATTTTTAGACATTTTCTTTCCTGGTATTCAAAAATGGCAACATGGAATCATCTGTTGTTATGAAAAAGGCTTTATTTTTTTTTCCACTTTCCTTTTTTTTTTCCCTACTGATTATTTGTAACAGACTTTCCAGGAAAAATAGAAATACAATTCTGAAATAAAAGTCAAAATAAAGGCAGAAATCCATTCAAACATTCCTGGCCTCCTTGAAGCATTGAGGTGAAGGAAGCCCAGTTTAAGCAGTGCTTTTCCAACTCCTTTTCAATGCAGCAAAATAAGAGACTAATTTCTCACATCATCTGCTATTCCACAGATATCTATGCAGCATGGGTAGCTCAAGAACTGAAAACACATTTGCTGGTTGAATCCTGGCAGCATTCGGGTCACAGTCTTCCCTCAAACTGCTCTCTCCAGTACCACGTCTACAACATACACACAATAGAGACACCACTGAATTCAACGTTTGGTTCCATTAATGATCATTCCAAGTGGTGTGTTTCCAGGAGCCCTGAAGATCAGTGGACCTGCATTGGAGACCTTAACCGTGCGGCTGAACAAGCCTGGAGAAGTGGTGGGTTCATTTGTACGCAGAACCAGTACATTTACAAAGCTTTCAGGAACTTGGTAGTCCGCTATGAAAGTTGTGGTAATTCTTCCATATTGATATGAATGAGCCATTCCTCCCACTAAGTTTTCACTCCGAAAAATGGCCCAATGAGTTGTCAGATGGATTAGGCCTTTACCTTCTTAGTCACAAAACAATTGTTTTACACAAATACTGTTTTGATCAGAGAGCTCTGCCTGAGCTCTGAGCTGTGCTCTGCTCCTTCCTCGTCTCCTCTCACCCTCAGTAACAGAGACTGTGCTGCCCTGGCGGGGGTCTCAGCGACACTGTGACAAAGCTTTGATTGTTGGGCACAAATGTCCTCAGGTGGAACTTGGTAAATAATGTGGGACGTGGGATGGGAGAAAGAACAAAAATCTCTCTCATTTGGTAGGTTGTTTGAGGCATGCAGTTAACAGGAGAAAAATACCCCCAAACACTTCAAATTGCTACATGGCCCAGGTGCTACTGAGATCAGGGATTGCATTTCTGCTGAGTTTGGGGGGAAAAACAGATCGGATCTCTTAAAGAACAGATGTAACTGAACATCAACAGGAAGACAGGCAGGTCTGTGGACAGAAAAGCTTAATTTGTACATGATTGTTTTTTACAAAAGAAATGAGCTGTAAATCATATGTATCCAGTAGCTTGGTGTATATCTAGTGCTTTTATTCATGTATAGTCATCGTATTAACAAATAAATATGTCCAAAATATGTCTAAATTAGAAGGAGAATGTCTATTTACAGTCTCTCTCTTCTATCTATAGTTATTTGTGGTTGGTTAAAATATCGTCTAGCTGCCAAGGGAAAATTATGGAGAAAAAGGAGAAAGAAAAAATAGAAGAAAAAAGAAGAAAATTCTTGAAGAAACAAAACTCTTATGTCTTGCCTGCTTAATGAGGAAAATTGTGAAGGAATGGGCTTTATTTTTAGTAAGTTGATCTGGTTCATAGATAAATCTTAGGCAAAGCTAACCATGCAAATAATGTAGATAGTTAAGATATTTGCACGAAATAGACCTTTTTTTTTGGCATGACTGAATAATATCTGGCAAATATTTTGGTTGATAATGTTTTTCCTCTGATGCTTGTCAAATTATTTTGCATATATACTTTCCAGTGTTTTACTAGCATGGTCAAGCAACAACTTTCTGATAGTGAAAGCAGACAGTGATACAGAACGATGAGCAGTGGGCTGGCACAACCTCGCCCAGGTAAACCAAGATAAAACCTCATTTCTCTTGTCCACCTTTGCAAGGCAGACACTAACCTAACCTGTATAAATCTTACGTCTTGCCCGCAACTTTGCATGTACATCATCTTACTGTGCAGGAATGGCAAGAAATCCATTCTGAGAGGCTGCTTTGCTGAAGTCCACGTTGGTTAATCAAAGATCTACTTGCCCAGCCTGCATTTCTTACGTTAGATGCTCATCCTTGTCATTTGGGTCACAGAGTTCAACAGCAAGGAAAGTCCCCGTCCGCGGGTTATGACAATAGTGTTGTCAGACAATCCTGCTCCCCAAGCTAAAGTCTGTCACTTGACCTTCAAGTCATAGTTGTTACTGTTAATTATCTGATCATTGGATAGTCTTCATAAAACTTCAGAAGAAGATTCACAACATTCCTCTTTCATTAAATCAAAGATAGGTGGCCTCCACTTTGTCTATGGCTGAAGAGGCCTAAGCTGGAATGAAAAAAATGCAGAGATGCAGCTGTACTTACAGCAGTGCAGTCACCTAAATAGTCCAGCTCTGCACACATTCATTTCAGTGGTGCAGCAATAAAAAGGCTGCAGTTCTGGTTCTCTCTCTCTTCCCCTCCCCCCCACAATTTTTTTGACTGTAAACACTTTTAATTCAGTTTTGTTTTCATTATGTAACCTCCATATTTGCATATCCCAGTATTTCTCATACAAACACATGAGCCGTTTCTTTGATTCTCAGAAAAGACTTATGATCAGCTAGATAAGCTTCCGGATTTTTAAATGGTTTGTAACTCTCATTTTTACATACATATTTACATATGTATACATATATGTGTGTGTGCACCCAGAGTTTAATTTTAAAATGTGCTGTTATTTTGTCAAGCTGTCAGACGCGGTAACAGGCTGTCCCGCTACTCTCCGTGCCCTCTTGGCTGCCAGCTCAGCCCTTTGACAGACAGGATTTCTCCTGCCGAAAGGGGCTTCCCGCTGCTGCCCCCTGTGCCTCCTCGGGAAGAGGCTGCGGAGCTGCCGGGGCAGGAGCCCCCGGCCTGTCCCACGAGGGAACCAGCCGCTCCTCGGGCGCTCCTCCGCGTGCAGCTACGGCTCTGCTGGCCCCTGGGCTCTGCTCCGCTTAAGCAAAATGAGAACATTACTATAATGAAAACAGTTTGCCGGGGGAGCGGGAGAGGCCAAAAGTGCACATCATTAGTCCACTAAACATTATTATAATGCAGCCAAGTTTGCAACAGACACAACATGAGAGATTGCTCTTTGGTAGATAATTTACACGAGATGCGAATCTGTCCCAGCATGTCTAACAAACTCACAAATGGCAGGAAATGCAAATAGGAGCCCCTCAAATCCCCTGCTTGCCACTCATTCACCCATGAGAGCAGCTCCTACCCAAAGTACAGCTAATGTCATCCCAGAGCAAGCAGCTTAACTCCATCTCTCTTTGGCCTATCAAAGAGAAGCATTCCTGAGGATTTTTCCATAACACTGGCAATTGTGGATACTCGAGGTAGTGGTCTGCTGTGTTCAAAGGGGCAATTTTGCACAGACTTATATGCCATTACAGTATTAGATGCTAGCAACCATAAGAGAAAAACTGCAAAGTACTTTAAGGCATGAAAATTTAAATGGTGAGATTTCACTCCAGCTGATCATCTACAATTAGGGAAAACATATATATTCCAGTGCTATTCCATTTTATAATGCAGCCCTTAAGGAGAGATTGCTTGAGGTGCCTCCACAGTGACTGAAAATGCACTGAGATTTAAGCACGGCAGCGCAGAGCATGGGAGAGGTCCCCAGGGCGCCTGGCTCTGTGCAAGGGCAGCTGGGGAGACGCTGCTGTGCTTAGGCAGGCAGCTGCCTTCCTGGAGACCTGCTCGCTTGGCCTGTCACTTAGGTTGTCACTGAGATCCACAGGAGGGTTAAGGTGAGCTACACTGTGCACAAATCCCGGGAAACCTGTAGGTACCAACTGTTGAGCTGCCAGCAGTGCCCATCCTCACGAGCAGCCTTGCGCCCTTCTGCCCGCCTCTGTCTTGGCCAGCTCCATTTCCTGTCCTCCAAAAGAGAAATCAGTTGCAAGTACATCTAATGGGAGCTTGTCTGTCAAGCAGTGTTTCCTCAGCTTGCCTCTGGTGTAGAGAGAGGGTTATCTTTGAAAGCCTCTTTTGTCTCTCTCCTCCATTTAAATATATACACCCTGACTCCTGACAGTAATGAAAAGCTAAACAACAACTTTGTGAGAGTTTTCTTTTTTAATGTAGCAAGGCATCCTTTGAGTTATTAGCATAGTCACGTAATTATCCCCAGAGAAATTTACAGCCATGTGTTAACACCCATAAATTACTGTGTGGATCTCTTTTATACCTTTATTTTCAGCTTCTGGGAAAAATACATCACTGAGTCCTTAGGATAGTAATTGGTTTAAAATGCGTAAGCTGCCTATGCCCTGGGTAAAGCATCCAGGAGGGAGTATTGCTGGCAGCCTCTTTGAAAAGCTCTGTGTAAGTCAAAGCCTAACTGTGCTTACAATATGATGCAAGAATGTGATGCACCTCTTTTATTTCCCAAGAGATTTCTGCAAAAGACATGGATATTCAATTTGATAGGCACAAAATGAAAAGAATGGGAATGAAGATGAATAAAAATACAAATGCTAGGCCAAAGACAGAAAAAATATACTATGTGATAGCAAGCACTAACTAACACAGGACAAGGCACTACCAGCAGAGCCATGATTTCGAACTAGGGTGTCGGTATCGGTGTTTTAAAGATACCCTGATAACCTGACTTTGATCAGCTATAGCTGGCACTTTCCTGTTTAGATTTGAGATACCAGATTAAGGGCCTATTCTGCTGATTTTTCTCAGAATCCTTCAGAATTTGACATGAATACATTATTAAAACACACTACATATCAGCTCAGAAATCAGTTGTAGCTGTCTTGGCCTCAAAAATATATTGTGTATATGCTTCTTTAGTTAAGGGTTTTTTTAAAGCACATTCATCATATTCTTATCTTTGTGGTTTTTAATTGATTCATTTCAATATAAAGTGCATGTTACTCTAGATTTAATTTTATATGTATTTGATATGTTAATAATTCTCCAACTTAAATACAAAACATAAGGACTTGAAATATACTCACCTACTATAGACAGCTGTGTTTCATTTTTACTCAAGTGATTTTAGCAAATTCTGTTGACATAATTTGATTTCTTTTTTTGGTTTAGTTCATTTTAGATTTCTACAGAAGTTATCTGGTGACTGCTCTGAATCTCCCTTAAGGTGGCTAAATGGAGAGGCTGTTTCTCCGAGCCATTAATTCCCTCGCAGCTTGGGACCCACGGATCCGTATTCAGGTGTGCAGCCTTTCCAGCCCCGCCGGAGCAGAGCGCAGGGTTTAACACTGCCTGTCAGTGCTGGCTGCTGCTGCAGGTGCTTCACTGCAGGACATTCCTGTTAGCATTGCTCAATTTATTAACCACAGAAATCGTGCATGCAAATTAGCCACACAATTCTGCATCATAAAGCATTAACCCCCGAATCTGTCTTCACATGTAGCGATGCTCTCAAATAAGGTGTCACATTTTAGCAACACATGTTTTATTCATTGCATTGCAAAAACTGCCAAGAGCTCACTAAAAGCCTTATCATCAAATTATAAAATTAGTTCCTGTATTTCTCACTCTTCAAAGCTTGGGACTACTTAGTTCAAAGGTCTTTTTTGTGTGTCTCTTTTTTTAGGAATCCTTTTAGGACTAAGGTTCCATCATCCAGAAATCACTTTTAGAAGTGCCTGTACTGTCAGATTATGCTTAGCATCACTGACCTCTACTTCACGTCAAGGATTAAAAATGCCTCGTTTGGCACGCGTTTGAAGAACTGCTTCCTTTCTGGAACCTGTTCCATTTCTCATACAAATCTTGTGAATCCCAGGCATCATGCAAATTAAATCCGTATCTTTTCTTCTCTCACTTTCTAACTACTCCAAATATTTGTCAAAGTAAGATTCATGAGGTAAAAAGGGAGGGCACCAACAATTTTTCAAGACATATTTTGCAGGGAGCAAGCATGGAAGAAGTGCTGCACAGCAGGGACAGTTCCTACAGTTGTGTTCCCATCTGCCCACCAACCCTCCTCTTTGTCCAAAGAAAGCAAGGACCAGAGAAACAGGAGCAAAGGGGGTTTCCAGGTGAAACAAAGAAGAAAAGTTGGAAGAGGGAAAAAGAGATGGAGTTGAGCAGAAGAGAAAAAGCAAAGGAAAAGCAGAACAAACGCTAGGATGGAAAACAAAAGGTGAGGGCAGTGACTGTGAAATCATTCAACCTCATCATGCAAAAAATCAGGCTGTTTCATTGACTGCGATGGTTACTTAACATTCATTTTACAGGTATGGAGGCTATGTCACGGAGAAATAAAAATGGGAGGTATAAACTGAAGTGACTCAGATGATTACAAACAAAAATAAACACCAGAAAGTCCCTACCTTTCACCAAACATACAAGAGGTGGGGCAAACCAAAATCAGATGTATCAAAAGTATTAACTATGGAAGAATTGGAGGGAGAAATTTATAACGCAAGTAGATTGAACCACATGCTAAATATCTCTCTTTCAAAAGGCTAAAAGCCAGTACAAAAGACATACAATGAAAACAAGAGATCTGAAATAAATTTTTAATAGTGTAACTGCAGATGATTCCAATATGGATCATTGCAATAAAACCAGCTTCATTCATTTTTGTGGCATTGAGAGAACTGAAAAAAGAAACAAATATAAAAGAATGCATATAGTGTCAGGTAAAATTATGCCTTTGCCATTTTGCTCTTGGTATTATCATTAAAGAGATCTCTACAACACGTGGTCTCTTATTCTTGGATAAAAATCAAAGTTAGTTCAGAAAACTCAATTTATATTTTCTTTGCTTTCACCTCCTTCTACATTCTTTATTCTCAACACAAAATAAATAACCATCAGTCTGATATAGCTGTTTCTTACAGCACTGAGTCAAAACTAGCAGTCATTCCTGGATGTTACTTACCGTCACTTGGCTCATGGTGGCCCGTTGTTTTGTAACCTCCCAGTCTTGGATCCCGCAGAGGAATAATGGCAGTGTAGAAGCTGTGGCTCTATAAAAAGTGTCACCTTAATTTCAGGGGAGGAGCTAAGCATAAGGGGGTGGCTTCACAAATGTAAATATTTCACAATTCATTTAGTAACATAGCTTTTTTTCTTCTTTTTTTTTTCTTTTTTTTTTGCCTTAGGCAATATCATTTAATAAAGGAATAGCTCTACTGCAACAAAAGAAGCAGCAGCAAAAATTGAGAGAAGGACACATCGTAACCCCATTAATGCCAGTGGGAGTTTACCTTCATCTTCAATGGGAGCAGAACTTCAAAGACAGCATCACTCATAAAAACGGAAGGATAAAATCTGAGCCTTGCGCGGCCTATGACACAAACGGTGTTCAGAGAGCGGAGGTGCTGTCCCTGCATGCTGGAAATGTCCCCGAGGAGCTTCCCGAGGGGGCCTGGCCGCAGCCCGGGCCGCAGTGTCCCCAAGGAGCTTCCCTTGGGGACCTGGCCGCAGTGTCCCCGAGGAGCTTCCCGTGAGGGCCTGGCCACAGCCCGGGCCGCAGTGTCCACAAGGAGCTTCCCGAGGGGACTGGCCGCAGCGCTGCCCGGGGGGCTGCAAGGAGCCGCGGCCGCGCGCGGGCAGCTCCCTGGCACCGGCACCATGGGGCCGCGCAGCAGCTGGGCGCAGCCCCCGGGGATGGAGAGAAATCTCCAGCTGCCCGTCTTGGATGCGTTCGACCACCGTGCCCCAGCCTGGAAGCAGTAACACCCCCTTTTTACAGATACTCTTTTTAAATCTTAGTAATTTAAGGGCCTCATTCAAAGCCTGTCTGTGGCAGGAGGAGGACACAAACCCGCATCACCTCAGCTCTACACCTGTTGTCAGTGCTGACCCAGATGAGCAGTATGGACAGAGAAGACTTCTTCCCTGGGAGATTCAAAATCTCCTCACAGACCCAAGAATACATCTTGGATGCACTCGACACGCTGCATACGATGAAAAGGAGGGAACTTGTGTTCCTGAGCATCTTTGCAGGTACTGTTGTGCTGCTGGCATTAAACAGCAGTGTGGATACTAAAAGAACAGAGATGGCATTCTTCTGCTAACAGAATAAAAAAGCTGCCCTCTTCTCCCTTTGGACTACTCCTTTTGCTTCTTCATTTTTTTTTTCTGAACGGCATAAGAAAACACAGCCTAATTTCATTGCAAGATAATGTGCAAAATATACAACATTGAGAGGTTATTACACTCTGTTGGGTGAGTTTCCACCCAACTCACAAACACGCAGACCCACCTAATACAATTTTAACTCTAAGAAAAATCCCCCGTCTGTTCTTCATTGTCGGGCATCAAAATATGCCTGACCACATAGTTATATCCCCTTAGCAGATATTACAAAGAAACCTTCCACAGGAGAATAAACCTTAAGCAAGTCCTCATCGCTATGTTCAAACTATGTTAAAAATGTACGCACTTTGATGCACCCTATAGATTCTCTTAAAAGAGAGATGTTTACCAAATGCTAAACCTCTTTATCATCATCTGCATGGTCATGATTTCAGTTACAGAGGCAGAAAGGTCTATGGATGTGTAAAAGATCAACAAATGTGATTACAAATTGCAAGTTCATTCCTGTCTCCTGTACACGAAATATCTTAAGGAAGTCTGTACCTCCTTTGGAAAATTACAGGGAATTGTGATTTTCAAAACCTGTGCTTGTTGCAAGTTGAATCTAAATTTTCTATCAAAATATCCTTTTTTTTTTCTCTCTGAGGGAGAGAGCACTGCTAAAGATCCAGCAGGAACAGAGAACTCGTTTTGTGTTTTTTCCAAGTGAGTACAGTATTACTTTAATGTCAAATTCTATTGGTTTCCGGTGTCCTCATTTTTAATGATCAGCATGTATAAAATCATTCTAAATGAAGAATAAAGCACATGAATTTGGCTGCTCCAAGCAGCATATAAAAATGCTGTTTGAGTTTGTGAGATTAGCTTGATATTCCAACTATAATGGCTATCATCTAGATAGATACTGCAATAAAGGTGAAACACACACTAATGCTGATAAGTGGCTCACCTTTATTTCATGGCCTTAGTCTTCTCAGGGCTACAGATATATGAGCCCAGCACTTTGTGGGCTCAAGTGACACTCAGACATAATGCTACTGAGCACAATCAATTTGAATAGATTAGTTAAACCAACGTGGTAAAGGCAAAGTGAAACTGAGCCACTTCACGGCCCTTTCCAGATAGAACATAAGCACTTAATCTTCCCTAAGGAGAATTTCAAGTGTGTTAGGACCAAAAGCATTTGAAATAAATCCAGTGCTGTTTAAATGTAGTGTTTTATGTAATCTAACAAAGATCAGCTGCATAAAAAATTAAAAGAAAGAGCTAAACTCTCCACAGATTTACAGATGCATTGCACAAATCGGTAAGTATTTGTGCAGTTCGTTCACAAGAAGAGAAAAAAATGTTTCCTGTAAGAGAATATAGGTGTGGCTACTTCTGTGTACTAAAGAGATTAGAAGAAAACCCTGTTGATGCTGTTTAGTTGTTGTGTTTGAAGTAATAATTACAGTCTGGCGTCAAGTTCGAACGATAACCATTGCTTTCTTCACGCAGATTTTCTACCTTGAGAGACCAGTTTTCAAAAGCTCTCTAGCAAAGCTTTTATGTTACAAGTCTTATTACAGCAGAAGAAACTGTTAAAGGGTAATCAGAAATACTGAGGGTGAGTTCTAGCTTTCCAGTATCTTCTCAGGACTGGACTTCAACAATGAGAGTCATTCATTCCTTCCTGAAAATAATCTCTTAGTGTAAAGGCCACAGGTTTTTTTTTTTCTTGCCGACTCAGATGTTCATGATTACATTTGAAAATGATGCAATTGAGAAATGCTTAACAGCCTTGGAAATTGGACCCATGTACTCAAAGTGAAAATGTAGTCATAAACCTTTTGCATATTTCCCATATAGACACTTCTTGCTGAGATTCTCAATTAGAACTTCTTTTTGTTCTTAAAACACACACACGCACACACACACAATTTCTTCCAAGATTAATAGTTTTGCATCTGATATTGTTTTGAATTTTCTGTTCTGAATATTCTCAGGAGGAGGTGGTCACTCCCCAGAGCCTGCACGTGGTCCAGACTCTGCCACACCGTCATCTTCCCCTGCAGTTCAGCCATTTGCCTCCTCTGTCTGCTAGATGCCTCTGCTCACTTTATTCGATCTCCAGTAGAGATTTTCCCCCCATTTTTAGGCTTATTAAAAACAGCATTTGGACTAGAAGAAAAGCACTTATATAGGAACACATGATTAGATTCCTTTCACTCTGAACAACCAAAGTGCTGTGTCCCAGATGGCTTAATACTGGAGAACATTCTAATAAATCTTAAATATGGTTGTAAGAACATATAGCATATATTAAAAAGACCATACATCTGAAGAGCTTTAATACTGTAAAATAAAGCACTCAGGTAATAAAAAATTAAATTTGCCTGTGCCACTATTTGACTGCAGTATGGCTATCTTTCACAAAAATCTTTAATCCCACAGGACTCTGTTTCATTTAGGGCACAAAAATCAAGAGCTTGGTCAGAGAATTGGTAGCTTTTTACTGTTTTTAAAATCTTATTTATTAAATGAACAATCTGCTGGTATTATTTATTGCCCATTAGCCACCTCCTTCCCAGAGCCTAGTTTTGTCATAGGGTTTTACAAGTTTAGCTCCCTAAAGTCCTGTGGTGCTCACATTTGGTCTATGATATACGGCAGTGCTCTAAGTAAGAAGCGTGCTTATGGGTGAAGAGATAAAAACTGTTTGCTATGAACAGACTCAAACTTTTCATTTCCTTCCTTTTGTGGGTTCATATCCGGTATATACATTCATGTTCTGCTCCTGAACAGTTTTTCTTAACTTAGTATATTATTATTCACAGAATTATCCTGGCATAATGCTAAATCTTTATTTATTAACACAGCTTTGCTGAAACCTTGCTGAAATGCTTTTCACCCTATATAAATACGTAGTTTTCTGCCATGCAGTACTCGGTCATATATATATGTAATGTCTTTATCAGAGGAGAATAGGTGGAAGTTTGGTTGGAGAATGTGCTGGGATATCTTGTGGCATGTAAGCATTAAATAGCAACTGTTAAAAAAATGGAAATGTAAGTATAAAAAGTATTTGAAGGTCAGGAAGCTAACAGGAGATGGCCTGGCACCACAGTGCAGGGCAGCAAAAAGGGCAAGGGAAGAGGGCTGCCCGCTGCAGCTTGCTTTTTGAAGAAAGAGACGGAGGGGAATGATTAGTGAAGGCAGACGAAGAACACAGCAGCCTCTGCAGAGCTTGGAGCTGCAGAGCGTCTACCTCTTCCTAAGGCAGGATCATACCTAGAGCAGCAGCTAGTGGGGAAGGGCACCAAGTTGACATCTTGCCCAAAACAACACAATTATCTTGTTTCATCTCTGCCAACAGGTATAGTAGAATGGCACATCCTGAGCCCGAAGTACAGTCAATCACTGTCTCTTGGACGAGGTGGGCTGCGAGGCGGCGGCGTGGCCTGGCTGCTGGCTGCGGGCACCAGAGGGGCTTGCACAAACTGCAGCAGCGCTCGGGGATGCAGCAGAGCATCAGCTCGTCCTTGGCACGTGGCAGTCTGCTCCCAGGAGTACCCGGTAAAATACTGCTGAATGCAGAAATAAGAGCAGGATTGTGAAAATCAGCCTCCGCCTGGATAAAGGCGCAGACTGGAAAATTTTGCATTGAATTGTAAAAGCATCCAGGAGAATGATGTGATAGAAATCCTCAACAGAGATCTGCAAAGAGACTACAGTCAACTGAGCAATATATTCTAGGTAATTTTAAAAAAGGTAAACAGAATCTGGTCTTGATGAATGACTTGTGTGCAGGATCAAAAGCTGCTTTGTTAGAACCTCAGGCAACATCATCACTCCATCTTCCAACATCTCTTTGGTTGGCTTCATATCAACAATATCAGCCCTGCAGCTTGTGTAACAACATAATGATGCAACCCTTAGGGATGAAGGTGGAGGTACTGGTAGGATGACAAAGTCCCACCACCCACATACAGTAAGAAATAATTGGGAACAGGTGAGGCTGTAGTCAAGCATGAAACATTAAAAATACTGTTTATTAACAATCAACTGAAACAATTAAGCTAAATTTCTATAAACTATTTAATTAACAGATTAGAAGGCCTAAAGTGACCTCTGTGATCTTCTTGTCTGTGTTCCTGTGTAATGGAGAGCAGGTTTCCCCGAATTAGTTCCTGTTTAACTAGATTGTATCATTTTAAGGGGGAAACATCTTGAGATATATATTCACACCATAAAGGCACCATAGTTCTTGGTAACACTCTTAGTACTTAGTTTAGGTTGGCTATAAATTTGCCTACCTTAAGATTTCAGCTCTTGGATCATAGCCTGATGATATAATTAAGTCACTGTTTTTAAATGGATGTTCCCTGCATAGACAGATACTTAAGAGTTGCTCATTATGTTTCTCTTTGATAAGCTAAATAGATTGAACTCCTTGATCCCCATATTAGAAGAAATGTATCCTAATACTTTAATCATCTCATGACTCTTCTATTAAGCCAATATAATTTTTCATCATTCTGAATTTAGAACACAAAACCTTTGTACAACATTTCAATTTACCATCAGTGCCAGATACAGAGAAAATATAAACCTCTATATTCCCTCTCGGTATTATCTTGCTTGGGCAAATGAGGGTTAGACTAAAAAGCAGGTACTAAGATTCCCTCATTTTAGTTGCTGTGCCAGACAAGTAGCTACTGTGATTCATTAGTCTCAAATGGCTTCCCAAAAGAGCACTCTCTGTCAAGTTTTCTGGACACATATTCTAGAACATACATTACGCTTATTAATCTCTACAAGGCGAAAATGTTTCCATATCCATTTTATAAAAGAATAAGGCAAAATGGGATTTATCAGAGGTTACCCCTGAAGTATTCCTGAGGAAGGGACCTGAGGGGTCCCATTGCTGACAGGAATGCACGTACACATTTGAACAGCAGAAGCCGTGCTCATGTGCATTGTAAACTCATGAATATAAACCTGGTATCAGACTGAATGCTGTCATTTCTTTTCAGGTGCATTTAAGATTAACCTCATTACGTTGATGAAATAAAAGAATAAGGATGAACCATTTAGCCTAACCTTCTCCTGTCAAAGGAGCTATGTCTTATCTTCTTTTTCATAAACGCGCACATGTTAACTGAGGAAATCAAAGAAACTTCCAATTTCCCCAAGCAGAAGTTGAGGAAAATAAAATAAAAATGGAAATACAGACGAAGGAAAATATTATCTTAGCTAATTCTTGTCATTTTATACAATGGCATTTATTGAAAAAGTGCTCCTGAGTCTCTCCTGTGTCTCTTACTGTAGGGAATAGCTAAGTTCTTCTGAATCATTCTGTGAGTGTTGGGTTCAGTGCCCAACTTGCTGAACTGTGTAAACCAAGCAAGAGAGCAACTGTAATAGGAGACCTAACCAAAGACCACGTAACACGATAAGATTTGTTTCTTCATTCAGTGCATCCAGTTCATCCAGTGCATCAGACGACATTAGATCTGACAAGCTTCTACCATAAAATGCTATAAAACAGGCTGAAATCTAGGCCAGAACTAGGGGTAGTTCTTGGGGAGCTACCTGGATTTCCTGGAGGGCAAGGTGTGGTTCTCTGCGTGGGAGGGGAACGCCGGTGATTTTCTGTTAGTAGTAATTAGGTGCAGCGTGAATTTCATTAGTAAGAACTGCATGTGCATACTGGAAAAAAAAAAAAGGTTTTCTGACACTGGGATTATTACATGTTTCCAGCTAAATGTCAGTGTTTATTACCTTTATTATTTTGTGATTAGCACATATAAATGTCCAAAAGTGTGTTCACATTTTACCAATACTTACGAAAAAAAGTTTCAGCCCCTGAGAGTTTATAATCTAAAAGAGAAGGAAATATTATGGTAAATCTCCAAATTAATTCACCAAGTCTGCTAATATTTTGAAACTATTCCTCTTTGCATTCTCATTTGTTTTCATTAGCCTCAGTCATTTTGCTTTTGATGTCCCATGTAGATAAACTGATAACTGATAAGAAAAGTAAACAATCTTATCATGGGAAAGGAGTGGAAAACCTTAAATAAAATATATACTGCAATTCCAGTGAACATTCATCAAAATTAAATAATAAAATCAGGAAAAGAAAGGTTAAAGATGACTGCTAACTTAAAATCCATTATCATATATCATAGCAGATGATATATATCAGGATATCATAGCAGATGTTCTAAAATTCTATAAAATATTTTCAAGTTTTTTTGTTCCCTCCTGAACATAGCAGACAGCAGCATGACTTTCCAGACGGATCTTTTGCACGCTACAGGTGATAGAATTATTTCCTACATAATTTCTGGTGGATCTAGAAGACATCTTTCACAAAAACTTCCATCTTCTTGACTTAAAGACATCAGGTGACAGTGAATGCCTCAGAAGCCTACGCATGTTGTGAAAGGTTTAATTTTTCTAACTGTAAATGTTGGACCTTTATAAAGCCCAAAACAACCCTAGCTTCAGCTTTCACACATCAGATTAAAAAAAAAGAAAAAAAGAAAAAAAAAAGAAAGAAAATGTCCGCTAAGCTGAAGATTTCTATGATCACAATAATCATTTAGTTATGTACTTCCAGATAAGTTAGCTCTTACAGGATTGATGGACTAAAGAGATGAAGCTTTTAAAGGCTGTTTCTGTAAGGTGGGTTTCTAGATCCCCAGTCAACCTTGCAGTTCTGTTTAACCACAGTCAGTTTGTCAGGGCCTGTTCTCTTGTGCAGGTGTTAGAACAAGACATCCTTTTCTACCAGTGAATTCCTGCCTCTACGGTGTCCCCCCATTTATATATACAAGTTCTTTCTTGGTTCTTTTTCTGCGTCACTACTTTTCAAAATTTCCTATACATATTAGCTATATTAAAGTGCACTTTGTTCAAACTTGTTCATCTTACCTAAGAATCTGGTAATAATCTACAGTTTATCAATCCTTGTTATGTATCATGTCAGCCATTTCTGTTGCTTAGGCAAATATTTTAAGAGTTCTTAGTTGCTTACTGACTTGGAACCTAACTAATGCAAGTTACTGGCATGTTGAAATACTTCTGATATATTAATAATGCTCAGTAAACAATCATAGAATCATAGAATGCTTAGGGTTGGAAGGGACCTCCTGAATCTGTTTTTTCTGACTTAAAATGTAAAGTATCTACCCAGAGCTAAGGAATGATAGATAGGATAGAAGGATAGAATACAGAGGCACATTTAAGCAAGATTCTTTTTTATTTTATAAAGAATCAGGGCTTCTTTGTATTTAAATCTATGCAAATGTGTATCTATTATGGGATACTTCGAAGTTCAGAGTGTTCTGCAATGGGAAACAGGTCCAGTCTGACTGGAGAATATCTTACTTTGTAACAAAATGGTTACACTATTTTTACAGTTAATTATATTTACAAATTACTTGTCGTTAATTTTGAACAGTGAGAAAATTCTTAGATACCTTTTGGCAATCAGCAAACAGAAAAAAAAACGGTAAAATTATTTGCTGTATCTAGATGTATTACAGAGAAATTATTCCACTAAAGCAGGCATATACCTCAAAACAAAATAACATGGAGCAAAGAAATAGGATGAAAGGGTAGCAAATTTTGAAAAATATTTGGCTAGAAATGAGTCATGCTGTAATGCTAAACTCCTCTTCAATATATGAAAGAATGTTTTATTAAGGGAACCTAAGCTACATGTAATTACCGCTAACAGAAAGATACTAATATTGCTTCCTACAGAGAGGACCGCACCTCCCAAGAAATACACGTATTTCTGCACACCCACAACCTTGATGAAAGGTTGCCAGTGACTTCTGCTTAGTTTACAGCATAATTCCTTAGAAAAGGATACGAATCTCCAGAGAAAGCAAAGTGATTTTGGCAAAATGCCAGGCTGGATACAGCAGATGCTTCTTCAGTACTTTGCCATAGGTAGGTATCGAATAAAACTTCTCAAAAAGTGATCAAATCTAAATGTACCAAATTACAGCTTTCTGGTTTATACAGTTTCTATCGGGGGAGTACTTCTATTTTCCACACTGGGCACCTGAAGCACCAGCAAGCTCCTCCTTTTATCATTCTCAGTTTACATAAAATTAAAGTGCTATCTAGTGGTTTTAATCTACTAACTAAGCAGAAGTGCTGACAGACTTACAGGAAATTAAACACCCACTATTCACCAGGCTGATCTGCCCAGATTAAGGTAATGGACAGCTCTGCCATCTTGATAGGTCTTGTGGGAAGGAGTTACTGTAATATCAGTCATAACTACATGTTTAAGGTTGTGTTGAAATCCATACATAAAGCAGCTTTTTTATTTTTTTTTTATGAGCTTTAGCATTGGACATGATCACAAATATCAGGGAATTAAATTTCCATTAATTTTTAAATAATAAAATCACAAGCTTAATTTCAAAGGCTTGCCTTGCCTTTGAAATGCTAGTTTCCCTCGTTTTTCCTTAGATTATTTAAGTTTTGCAATCTCAGTCTTCCAAACGCTTTCCCCCTGCACACATACATGTGCATGCTGAGATGCTAGACACGGATCACTTAAATACATAAGAAATCATTTCTCTTTGCGCAGCATAGCAAGAAATTTGCACGAAATTTAATTGCTGCAACTTCAACACAGGCAAGAATGACGATCCAGGAAACTGACGGTCTGTTGGCCTAAGGGTGTCAGCCCGAAGGTATCTGAGGAGCAAATACTCCTGGAAGCCACTTGCAAGCTCCTGAGGGACACGAGTGAATGAGGACAGCGGAGGGCAAACCTTGGACAGGACTGGCTTAGCGCAGGAGGGGAGAGCACTGGATGTTGTTTATTTCAGTTTTAGCCAGGCATTCAACACAGTGCCTTTAAAGACAAACTGGTGAAATACGGAGTGGATAAACAGGCCATTAGGGAGGTGGGTGATTCCTGGGCTGGTGGGCACGAAGGCTCACACCGAGTCCAGCTGATGGCTGGTTACTGGGGTGCTCCTCAGGCAAAGATCTGCGGGACAGAACTGTTAGCGTTAATGACCAAGACAGGGGGACAGAGCGGGCTCTAGAAAGTTACTGCCTGACACCACTGTGTTTAACAGAGAGGTTAACAGGAGAGGTGTTTTATTATGGAAGGTAAAACTGCTGTTCAGGGGGATTTTGAAGACTAGTGCAGCAGCGTCATGAGTTGAAGATGCTCGTGCCCAGATGCAGCAGCAGAGCATCGCGCCTGAGCTCACCAGCTGAGAAGCAGGATTTACTGGCTCAAGTTCATCCCCACTGCTCCGAGACCGCCCCGACCAGCTGCTGCTTGGTGGTTTCTCCACCACACACTATTGCCTGGCGACGTCAGCTCTGTTAACATCAGTGGTCACATCAATTGCAGAGGCTGCAAAGGAGATTCATCCTGGGACGGCCCGTTGCAAGGCTAGCATATTTTCCCATGAGAGTTTTTCCCCTTGTTTGCTTTCTTAAACTAAGGACATGAAGCTTGTAAAGAGACTCTCAAAAGCTAGAGCAATTCAGAATGAAAACTGACAAAATTTCATTTTCTTTTTATGTAACTGCAGTATAACTTTTTTTTTTCCAGGTTCTATCTCTTTTGGATAGAACCAGGACTAATTTGTCCTGATTTGTATATATAATGTGTGTCAATAATATCCACCTTTTTTTTTTCTTTTGAATTTGAAGATGTTAGAAGGGAAAAGGACTAATTCCACACTGTGAACAGTTTTAAGTTATCATGAATTTCTTTGCCATAGATGCTGAGTATGTCACTAAATCTTCTCAGGGAGAGACACTGTGTCTGCATTCCTCATTTGCTGGTTGCTCACTTTAATATATCTAGAATCTGATATCTAGAATGATATTGAGCATGGGGAAGCTAACTGTGAACCTAATTGAACATAACTGTGGTTTGAATGTATGCTGCAGCTTTGCGTGTCTTGCACTGAACATTCTAAATTCATAGAGGCACTTCAATTTTGCATTGGAAAAGCTTTTTCATTTTCCCACACTTGCTAAAGTTAAAGGAGTTAGAACCTTCTTTCCAGTAAGCATCTTAATGTGTCCATGAAAATTACAGTCTGTTGAGTTATGGGAAAGTACAGTCATTGGCAGTACATAATAAGATATACTGTTCATCTTGAAATATTAAATAATACCCAACTTCATTCAGCATGATCCCCATTTACCATTAAAGAGATCGCCCTAGGTGATAAAAAATATGGAAATTAAAGACTGTAAACAAGATGCACTAAGGAATGCAAGCCTGTGAGTCCCAAACAGATGATGCTGAAAACAACCCACGCTGTTCTTGCATTGGCACTTTGTAATTTTACTTGAGGTGCTCCCCTAGAGAAGCAGCTCTGTGCGGGCCCAGGCCTGGGTGCAGTCTGGGAGAGGTGGAACAGCTTCCCATTTGCTCCATGCTGGACACCAGGCATTCCCAAAGCACGGGTCCCACGCGGCCTGGTACCGCATGTGCAGCAAACACCACAGAGCCGGGCTCGCCACGAAACACAGCAATGGGCTTTCTATAAAAAGTGATGGAACCTGGGCGGGTCTTTCATACTAGAGCATATCGTGTTATGTTCAACTCCTTCCTTACTTAGAGACGTGGGTTCAAACACAGACTTCTCTGTCACGCAGAGCATCTTGCACCGCTCCAAATATTCTGAGTCAGATCATATTGCACTTTTTTTCACTGTGCAAAACCCCAAGAAAACATCAGGCCAGAAAACAAACAAACAACCACAAAAAAACAAATCTAGACTCTTCAGCCTAGTGATTAAGGCATACACCTGCAGAGACAAAGCCTGGTAACAATCTGTTCTCGGAAGGCTGTTTCTGCTTTGCTGTGTAACACAGCCAGGAATCTAGTATTCCTTCGAGCCAGTGTCCTAGCTCCTAGCTATTCCTTCTCTTTGGTCCAGAATGTCTTACAACCTATTCTGCATGCAGCAGCAGCTTGAACTGGAAGGAGGACACCCCTTTCCCTTGAACAACTTACAGGCTAGATTGTTCCATGGAAAAGACAGGTCCATGGAAAAGACCTATGTGATTCTGAATCTCCAGACGCTGGAAAATCATTTGAACTCATGTCTTCTGCGCCATATGTGAATACTTTAACTTCCAAACTACCAGTTAAAGAAAGCTACTGCCACTAACTTTGCTACACAGCCAGTTCTGCTAGACGGTCTCTGAGAGTGCCTATCAGACACGTGCTGCAAGCTGGACAGTTTGAAGTCATCTAGTTTGCAGGGCCTGGTAAGATTTGAACATGATGAAAGCTCCTGTAGCAGCTGCCTCAAGACTGAGGTGGTTATAGGCACTGCAGACACAGAGCTTTGGGACGCAACTACACATAGCACCACGAAGGGAGAGCAGATCCACCCCCGAACAAGCCCGGATAAGAGGAGTATAGTTGTTTACAGCTGTCCAGTATAGCTCTGCACATGCTCATTGGCCGTTCTGGATAGTTGAACAAAGTATGTCTGGAGCTGTAAAGCAGCTATACTGCGTTTGAGGCTAAAATTAGTATTTCCACTCAGCATTGCCTTGTGCTGTTCGAATGCATTAGCCTCTGTCACAAATTCCTAGAACTGAAATATTGTTTACAGAAATTGTGCTGACTGAATCTTATGATATTGCTGAATTATTGCTGAATTAAGTTGTTATCTAATCATAAAATTGTTTTAAAATGATGACAAAAGTCCCAGGGCTCTGTTGTATCACAACTCCAAACAAGGTTTTCATTGCTGTAGCTTGCAGGAAGCTTTCCTCCGAAATTCCTTAGTGCTGACATGGAAGAAATGCTTTCATTCATTATTGGCTCTCTGGTGCAGGACTTACTTGCATGTTTACACAAATGAAAGGGTTTGTTTTTTTTTTTGTCTGCTTGTTCTTCAGTTTTTGACCAGGGCAGCTTCCCCCAAAAGACAAAGTCAGTTTCATGGCAACACTACATTAATTGTAAAAAAGGAATATCCTGCTTAAAGTCTTGTTATTTATAAAGCATTCATACCTAAAGTAAGCCAAAGACACAAGGACCCACAGTATTTCCATTAAGAAATTAAATTATTACTAAGCACACTCTTATTAGTTGGGCCTTCTATTATTTTATAATTGTGTCTTATTAGTGACCTTGTTTTCACTGGATTCATAATGTGTTTCTGGCATGTTTTTACTGTCCCTCCTGTTCCCTAGGAAGTTTTTCTATTATTGTGTATAATTATTTTGTTCCTGCGACTCCTGAAAGAAAAGCCAATGCATAATATTAGCAGACCGTCTTACATTTTTCTAGGAGAGAGAATGTGGTTTTTTTTTTTCCACTTGGAAGCACTAAGCATCACAAAATCATGCTTCACATCAGTGCAAGACTGCAAAAGCAGTATTGCAAACTGAAAGCAGAAATAGCTCAGAATTTCCTAGTTATCTCTAATAATGGCACTGGTTAGAATCTCAACCGGCGACTTTTGGAGAAACACTTTCAATCTCTGCAACATTTGAGCTACCTGGTTGGCAGGTTGGCCTAAGTAGGATTATTTGTAGTAGCACCTCCTGTGGAGAATACTGTGTGTTCTTCACCCCTTCCTAACAACTGTGTAATAAAAAGTTCCTTTTCCATTGACCACCAGGTGACAAGTTTAAGTAATTTGGTTTTCTATTCTCCTTAACAGACTGACACATTTGCTCTTTTGGTAGCAAAACTTAGAAATAGCTTTATAGGATTAGGAGGTTTGAATTAGGATCTAAATTAATCAACATGCTGGTCTAACATCACGCCTAGTAAAGGCAGAAAAAATAAAGAGTTTTAAGCTCTCCTTAGAACAAAGTTACAGAAAATCTTCAGTCAACATATTCCTAGCTAAATCCCCCAAATCTTAATTACCATGGAAACTGCATATTCTTAAGGCTCCAAGGATTGGAAATATTTTCCCTTGGAAAAAAAATGGGAGTGGGGCCAGAAAAACATGAGACTACACACAATGGCAACTTTGATCATTCATTTACATTTCCACTAACTAGAAATAACCTCGGTGAAGCAAGCTGAGTTACACAGTTAAATTAGCACGGTGAAATCAGCACAGCAAAAGTGGGTTGGAGACGTTTGTCTACTCCAGGTTTTTTCTACGCTCTTTCACCATGATCTTCACGCGCTTGTGTTAACTCCCTTCTTTTTCCCTTCTGCAGTGAGGGACACCTGGGGACACGGCACATGCCTTGTTTCTCAGCCCGACCTGCGCACACACAG